GACTCTGGGACTTACGAGTGCAGGGCCAGCAACGACCCCAAGAGGAATGACTTGAGGCAAAACCCCTCCATAACATGGATTCGAGCCCAGGCCACCATAAGCGTCCTTCAGAGTGAGTCCAGCACCCTACAGTAGTAGTACTGTAGTCATTAGAGGTGGCCCAATGACCCTTCCCTTCTGCTTCCTTTCCCTCTTCCCCAGTATGATCGCTCACCCCACCCCTTGTCTTTGTTTTTTCAAACCCACGACCCTTTTGGTTGTAGTGTATGAAAACATCTGTGGCAACTTTTTTTCTTCTTTGCCGTGCTCTCTGCCTCCATTGTCCCCCAACCCTTCTCTGTGTCTTTCTTCTCAGGAACAAAGAACTTGAGGAGATCCGTGAGTGTCCAAATTCATCTGTGTTGGGGAGAAGTGGGGAGGGAGAACTGGGGAGGTTAAAAAAAATTTTAAAAAACTCAGAAAACCAGGCAGTCAAAGGAGGGTAGTGTTGAAATTGTTTCTTTCCCTCCCCTTTGATTTTGTAGTAGGTTTCCTGCTATCCTTTTGCTGATTTCTTCTCTGGTGCCTTTCTATTTTTGTTTCTCTCCCCAATCTAACTACTTTTTTTTTCTTCTGTTCATCTGTTTGAAGCTCTCTGAGTAGCTGCCTTCACCTCTGGTTTTGAGTTTGTGTCTGCCCCGCCTCTTCCCTCACTGTGACCTGGTGTCATCCTGTTCTGTGATGGGAATGTTGCCATGGGTGCAGTGTGGTGGTGTGTTTTGGTTGTTGGGTGGCATGTAAGCTTGGATACTTCCATAGTTCCAGCTCTTTTTCTTTTCTAAAACAGTGGCATGTGCTTCTCTGATACTAGCCCTCCACTGCAGCAGTATACTCCTCACCAGGCCTGCCCGTTCCCTCTCCTGTTCTTAAAAGCAGCAGCCTGAGATTCCCCTGTGTATTGCTGTTAGGAGCCAGGTGACACTAAGCTGCAAAATATATTTTTTAAAACCCCATCACGCTATTTCAAAGTCTGAGTTGTATCTGATTCCTGTTCACAGTTTGGTGACTGACTGTTGGCACAGTGCTCCTCATCCCGGAGAATGGCAACTCCAGAAATGGGTTGGAAGCCATTCACATTGGCCTTTTTCTTTGTGTCTTGAAAAAAGAGGAAACTAAATTCCAGCCCTCTTCCTCTCAGTGATAAGGTGAGCTGAGTGGCTGGCTCAGAATCTTCCCCTTCATCTATTATAGCAGGTACAAGTGAGACATGTGACATAGGAGCTTTTGTGGCCACTTCTCTTTCTTGAAAGAGAAGAAAGTGGGAAGGAGAGGGAAGGAGAAGCCACCACAGAACCAGTGCTCTTGGCCAAGAAGAGTTCTAGCCCCATGTCAGACCTGGTTCTGGTTGTAATTGAGGGGGCATTCTCTATTTAATAGAAAGATGCTCTGGGTTTTTCACCTTCGTCAAGGATTCAGTGAGAGACCAATAGCCAGTTCTTAAAGAGCTGATCGATTTAGAAAGAGTAGGTGAAAATAGTAAAATACTAGTTTTATGAGGAATTTGGTGATAACACAGGAGGTAGTATGACATTGAATTTATATACTTATATGGGAAATAGCAAATTTGTGTCTGTTCTTTGTAGCTACTCAGATCCTTATGAAAAAAAAAAGTCCGTAGAGCAGAGATGGGAGAGGCTGCTGCAGTTGGCACTGTTGAATCAGAGAACCTGCTTCTGGAAAGGGGAAAAGAAAACCTTGTCTATGTGAAAATGGGGAACATTAACCCAGTAATTTTTCTTCTTTCTTTCTTTCTTTTTTTGTAAACAATTTTTTTCCCTTGCACGCCTCCTTTTCCTGCCCCCTTGCTCCTTTCGTTATAAAAGCAGAATTATCCAAATGGCCACAGAGGTCTGCAGAAGTTTATAGGCATGGACTGGGCTGGGCATTTGGTACTTGTACTTCCAGGAGCCTGACTCATAGCTAGAAAGACCATGCTTGGAGGCTAGAAAAAGATGAGGCTTTGGGGACCTACCTACCAATCCCAAGATTACACAACATTTCCCTAGTTTGCTTAGAAACAGTTTCCTAACTTATGGTTGTATGCATGTGGTTAAACCAAATCCTGGCTAGTCAGTCTCTCCCCAGACTTCCCCATCAGTCAGTTAACCCTAATTAGCCGTTTTGGAGAGCCAGGAGGTTGCTGCTGTTGTTTTTTTGTTTCCTTAAAACACCCTGGATTCAATTCTAATTGGATTGTTTTATGATCTCAGCATTCCCAAAGACATTGCCTCCAGGGAGAGGTTGAAGTCTTCTATCTAAGAATGACCTCCTGGCAGTACTTTCCCCAAAGCTCCTTGAGTAGCGTAAGGCAGGAAGAGAAATGTGCCCAGATTTTAGGGTTATCTCTCTGGCCATAGCATGTTCTTTACATATGCATGATGGCTAGGGTAAGGGTCTCCTACCTGCTGCTTCTAAATAGGAGTCAGTGGCAGGTGAAAATGTTTGAGCTTCTCCTAAATGTTCATCTCTCTTGGACTTCACTGGGCAGTGCTCGGCCACAGAAATAAAAGCCCCACCTTCATCCTGGTGCAGAATGCAGATGTGGCACCAAGGCCAAGGAATTGGTCTGGCACTAGTTTTCATACACAGCAATCACAGGAGGCAGGTTACCCTACCCCACAACCCTCCTATGGTACAGAATCATATTTAAACCTATTTAAATTATCCACTTGCTCCCAGCTGACTCTCCTGGATCTTTAACACTTAAGGGAAAAAGTGTTTTCCTTTGCCTTCCAAGAATTCTTGGCAGAAAGTCTACCAGGTTGCTTTCATCAGCTTCTTAATCTCCCTGAGCTGCAGTGGTCATTTGCATCGCCACAGGTAAGAGTAGCATTTACTTTGGCCTCCTCGTATTTATTTAAACATCTGGAAGCTCTTGGCCTCATTCTCAGAGTTCACCCTTTCTCAGTGCAATCTGAGAGGAAGAGCCAGAAAGTCCCAAGTGGGACAGAAAATGAAATTGGTTAATAAAAATTCAGTGAAAACCTAAAAGTGTGTTTGGGTTTTAATGTTGCCTTTATATTTTTTTAATTTCTCTTCTGTGGAGTACTGGTTCTATCTTTTTCTCTTTTGTTTTTGCTTAGTTTTGATTTTTCTTGGAATTGTGATGCTTTCTGCTGATTGATGGTGTGTGTGCGCCTTCCATTGCAGGGTTTGCAGCCGTTCTGCTCGACTTCTTAAGGCCCAGGGATTTGGCTTCTGTCCAGTGTGTCTTGGAAACCATGGGACACCACTGCGCTAACGTGTTTACATGCATCTGCTTCTGTCTTAGTGGCTGCTATGCCTCCATTATCTGTACATAGAGACCCTGTTTGATGTTACTGATAAGGACCAGTGCTGAATGGAAGATAACCATTATCCTTTTGCCAGAGTTGGAAAATAGTTAGAACCAATTTGTTAATTGAGCAAACTTAAGGATTTGCTTTAGTACAGGTTTCTCTGAAGGTACTAACTCTACAGTCAGAAATGTTACCTTGGTCAGGAAGTCCTTAAGACATTAAATTTTCCAAATATCCCATGATTTCTCGGTCCTTTCCTCCTCCCTAAACTGCAAACAAACCTTAGTTCCAATGGAGGGAGAGAGTTCTGTTCTCAAGAGTTAATGGTTAGCACTGTATTGCATAAAACGGTGAGGGGATGCTGCTGTGGAGTTGTAGACAGGAAGTAGCCAGATGCAGGGAAGTGGGAAGTCAGTCAAGGGTTTCTGAGAAAGAATTGGAAGAAAATAAAAGAGCAAATATCTCTTATTGTGGGTGAAAAAGGTAATTAGTTTAAACTTCACCTGAAAAGGTTTGACCAAAAGTAGAAAAAGAACCAATCCTGGGAAAAAAATTGACAAACAACAACAAAAGACAAATAACAAACATGGAAACATCTTGACTTTAATATAGTGATGGATTTCAAAGTGATTTAAAGATGAAACTTCCAGGAATGATAGAATATGACTTAAAAAATTTCTGTTCAATATGTTATAATATTTGACTCAGATTATTTTTATACACTAGTGATCCCAGGTTATCTAAGCCCAGGATAGAAGCAGAAGGTGAAGTATATGCCTTGCCCTAGGGTGGAAGGTGGGGGTGGGAGTTGGGGTCGGACCAGGGATAGAGAATTTAGTCAGATGTGTCTTCTAGACCCAGCTTTGCCACTAATAATATTTATGGCCTTGTACAATTTATTTCACTTTTCCAAAGAGTGGGATTCAGTGAACTCTACGGGCCTTTCTACAATTCTGGGAGCCCTAATACCAACACATATTGAACTCTAGTTATATTATCTTGGAATAGAATGTGTTTTAAAGTGCAATTCTGAACAAAATTTTGTTTTGGGAATAAATATGGGCTGGAGAGAAGAACTGATAATTCCTTAAGAATTTTGCCTTAGCAAAATTTGAGAAATACATGAGACTTCCAGTAGGAAGTTTGCATTTAGGATCTCTGCTGTCTTTTTCTGCATAAATAATAGCCATGGCTGGCTTGCCATAGGTTTAACATTTCAGTGTGGAAAAGCCATAATGTATTATCTAATTATACCTATTACTGTTCTAAGGCCCATAGGGAGTTTATTAGTTATGTAAATGATGTTGCCTTTGTCTTCAGAACTGGGAGGTGGAGCCTGGTTTTCTAATTGAAGCTGAATCTGTGGGTGATTCTTATATCATAAAAAGGTGGTATTCAAAAGCATAAGTGGATTATTGCCAGTATAAGTACCTGTAATACTCCCATTCTTTCACGTCTAGGCCAGCTGGTCTTCAGGCTGTTGTCTGCGCTAGTGGTCATTTGCTTATAATCATTGTTTTTCCTTTCTTGACTTCCTCCAAAGTGGTAAAGTGAAATTCCTCATGTGGTCCTGTCTGCCCTCCCTCTTCTTCTAGTCTCCCCTTCCTACCCCATCCAACTCTCAGGCCAGGGCTGCAGAGGATGAAAGCTATTGCCCCCTATCATTGTGTACTCTTATTACAGAGCCAAGGATTGTCACCAGTGAAGAGATCATTATTCGAGATAGTCCTCCTGCTCTCCCTGTCACCCTGCAGTGTAACCTCACCTCCAGCTCTCACACCCTTACATACAGCTACTGGACAAAGAATGGGGTGGAACTGACTGCCACTCGTAAGAATGCCAGCAACATGGAATACAGGTGAGAGGGGCTAGCAGCTCCTGGGAAGATGGGAGGGAGTGTGGCCGAACTTACTCAACATTCATGATGCATAATTATGCCATGTGGGAGGGAAATGAGATATATTTGGTCCTTCCCTGGAGAGTCTAATCCAGTTTAATCCTGGCGTAAGGCCCCGGAATCCATAAAAGATTTCCAAATGATTCTGATGAGCAAACAGATTTGAGAGCCATAGATGATCTCCTCACTATGATATTAGAGAAACCGAGGACATGAGAGAATGATTTGCTCAGAGTAACAATGCTAGTCAATAGGAAAGGTGCAATTAGAATGCAATGTCTTGCCTTAATCCAGTGGTTTGAGGAATCAAATTGAAGTCTGCTTTGAGACTATTAGAGCAAGACATCTCCCTAAATGATCTTGCCACTGGGTAGATTTCCTAGTGCATTACCTTTTAGGAGTGTTTAATATCACCATAAACCTGATAAGGACTGGTAGATACAGGGCTCTTTAACGACCTGGAGTGGGGATGGTAGCCAGGAAATATCCTTTGAAGAAAGAAGGATACTTGATGGCTAGAGTTACCCTGCGCCCAAAGATCTGGGGCTTTTTGGAATATCTAGAACACGTGGCACCTCACCTTTCAGAATAATCTGTTCCTGGTTGAAAACTAATCTGAAAAAGCATCAGCTAATCTTGTGTGGTAGGTTCATGCAGTGCAAAGACAGAGAGCACTGGAGTGAGACCAGGAGAACTTTTGTACCCGGTAGTAGCAAGAGCATTCTGTGGTGTTTTATAGCATTGAGATCTTTTCACCCCCTTATTTAATTGATCTACTTGAATTTGTGGACCCCTCTCTTTTTCTCAGGCCAGGAAACTAAGACTCAAAGAGTAACTCTTGGCTGCTTTAAAGCCAAATTCTGTATCTAATAAATTCCAGAACCAAGGCTAGGTTCCAGGTCTTCTGACTTGTTAGAAATTTTTCTAGAATTCGTGGGGTTTTTTTTTTTTTTTTCCTACTATGCCATACTGCTCAGTGGCAAGTTAACCTATCTCCACTGTAGTTTCTTCTGATACAAAATTAGAAATATAGCCTCAGCTATATCCTCATAGTTTGGAAAGGGTTAATCAAATAAAGATGTTGGGTAGATTGAAAGGCATTTATTCTTGGTCCGTCCATTAGTTTTACAGGTTTACTTTTTATAGTACTTCTTTCAAGGTTGCAGACACCCAATCATGTTTCTCTTGGGTCTTGTACTGTTGGCCACAAAGCTTTGAGCTGTAACTTCATAAAGTTTCAGCCAGACTTTATAAAATGCTTTTTCTGCTTTTTTCCCTCAGCTTATTTGAAGTTCTCCAGGGGTATTCTGCATCCCTAGAGTTTTTCTGTGATTCCACATTTTGTGGGATAACAACCGATGGGCTACCTTGGGCTACCTAATAAGTCAGCCATGGGTCCAGTTTCAGAACCCTGCCTCTGCTCAGCCTGTATGGGACATTTCCATTTGCTTCAGTTTCTTCCTAATAGTTAGCCCAAGGGAATGGTGTGGGGAGATTTGGAGCCCATAGGCATGGCCTCAAGAGTGGGAGATATCTTACCAAGTATTTCTCAAAGAACTTAAAGTTAGTTTAAGCCCTGAAGATAGTTATAGCTACTGCTCCTCCCTCAAACTCTGGAACACTTGCTGTCAAGAGCAGTTAACTTGTGTGTGTTTTTCCGCTGGGAGCATGTTGATTTAAGAAGAGACATTGTGTCAAATTAAAAAGACATCCTGACTGCTCCTCGTAGAATATTATGCTGCCATGGATGTGCTGAGACAGTCCTGGAGACAGGCTATGTCTTTTCTCATTCATAGTCTCTTAACTTGTGTTTCTTTTTTGAAATGAGCAGTAAGATGGATATACATTGTGCCAGTCAGGGGTCGAGTTGAGGAATTTTTCTTAGACATTAAATAGTACAGTGGAGATTCTACCATCATAAGTATCATATTTTAACCACTAAGCAAAACAGCAAAACAGCCCTATATAAATATTAATTCTCTAATCTGAAGGCTGTCATTTCTCTGTTTTCTGTAATTACTCACCGACCTTCCTGCATGTGTTTGATGTGTATGTGTGTAGGCCGAGGTATACTGAGCTGATGCGAAGTTGGCCTTCAGGGGCAAAAAGCTTGTTTGGGATCACCCTGTGAGATTCAAAGAAAGTGTTCTGGCCATACACACTTCTTACAGTCCTTCCTGTTACTCTGTTTAACTCGGTCTGGATCTGTGCACAGCTGTTCACTCTGAGTTTGTACTCCTTCAGTCATTCGTTTGTTTGTTTATTCATTCCCCTTCTGTATTCCAGGCACCAGGCAAGGTGCTGGCTGTAGAATCGTGTACCACATAGTGCCTACCAACACAGAACTTTGTCTGTTGGGAAGTCAGACGTTAATGAAGCAATCACATAAATGTATAATCATATGTTGTGATATGTACTGTGAAAAATCACAGGGTAGTGTATTGCGAATGTCATGGAGGGGGATGAAATTTAGATTGAGGCTGGACAAAGTGACATGTCAGCCAAGACCTGATGGAAGAGGAGTTAGGTAGGCTAAAAGTGATTGGAAGAACATTCTTTGTAAAGGAGCATCCTGTGTGAAGCTGTTGAGGTAGGAACAAGCTTGGCACATTAAACTGAAAAGACACCAGAAGGGCTGGAAAGTGGCATAGAATGTGGCTAGGGAGGTAGGCAGGGACCAGATCATGCAGGTGCTGGAGTTTATGATAAGGCTTTTAGCTGCATCTCTGTGGTGATGCTCTAATGGCAGTTTTTTTTTTTTTTTTAAAGCTATATCTGGGTCCTGTTAGTGAGTAGACTTATTGAAAGGCATGCTACTAAAAAAAAGGGTAGAAAGAGTAGGACTACCAAAACAAGGTCTTTAAAGCTCAGAAAAAGCTTGTGGCTTTTTGTTTTCTGTTCTTGTTTATCTGACTAGAACCATGAGGTGAGCAAGAAGTTTTCAGTTATGGTTCCATCCTCTATATCCTAGTATAAATTGTAGTACTTTGTACAACCCTCTGTTTTGCTTACTTATTTTGCAATTTGTTTCTCCCAATGTACCAGAGCATCTTAAGGTTAGAGACAGTGTGCCATTCCATCTTTGTATTCCTGGCACCCAGGAAAGAGTGAGGCATTAATGTTTTGGGATGCACAGAGGGGGGTTTTTACTTTTAGTTAGGAGGAGGTGAGTTGCATTAAGGGGCAGGATTTGGAGAGCAGGGTCCCTGACTGCCCCTTTGGTTCTCCTTTTATAGTATATTTTGGTCATTCTCAGTTTTCTCACTTGGTTTTTCTTCTCATCTCTGCAGGATCAATAAGCCGAGAGCTGAGGATTCAGGCGAATACCACTGTGTATATCACTTTGTCAGCGCTCCTAAAGCAAATGCCACCATCGAAGTGAAAGGTACAACCCAACAAAGGCTGCAGTGGGAGCCTCTCACTCTCCTCTGAGACATTATCTTGGTCTGGCCTCTGAGCGTTCAAGCTCTTCTTGTTTCCATTTCAAGAGGCAATATAATGTTATGGTTAGGACCACAGGCTTGGGAGCCTGGCTGTCTAGGTTTAAATTCAGTCCCCATCATCTACTAGTTGTGTGACCTTGGCAAGTTACTAACTTCTCTATGCTTCTGTTTCCTCATTTGTAAAATGAGGATATCAACAGTACTTAGCTCATCGGTTTGTTAGGAGAAATAAATAAGTTAATATAGTAGGTTGAACTATATGAAATTGCCATTTTTGTATGTCAAAATGTTTGAATGTTGGCAGTTCATGTGGCTCAACCTTATGTAATTAGTTAGAACGGTGCATCACAAGTATGATTACTTAGATCTTTAGTGGGCCAGCAGGATTTGGGAAAGTACAGTGTGCAGGATGAACATAAGCTGTTTGTGGCTAATTCATTAGAATTTTAATAGAAACCCTGTGGGCGCGTGACATCTTAAAGATGAGGCTGTAGCAGATAGTTTCAAAAAAGGGCAAATAGAACTATAAAAGTTGGAGCTATCTAACATCATTAATTGCAACTTTCCTGTGTTATTTCAAAGAAGTACCGAAGACCCAGAAAAGTGAAACTACTAGCTCTATGTCACATAGTGAGTTTGTGGCAGAGCTAGTCTAGAACCAAGGTCTTGACTCCTAATCCTATGTTTTTTCCACTGTCATAAAATGACCGTGGGGAGGCACGGCTACTGTTTGAAGTCAGACTGAAGAGTTGATGTTTTTTATTTTTAGTTTTTTTCATTTTGCTTAGGAAGGACACAGATTTGTTCTTTAAATCTGTAGGGTCATCTCTAGAAGCTAGAAGGATAAATTTAGAAGAAAGAAAGTCTTATATAATAGGTCTTTAGGTCTTCTTAAAATATTTGGAAGATTAAAAATGCAGATTCAAGAAAGTAATATCTTAGTGACATAGCCCTAACTTGTGAGTTGATGTAGGATGACCATCGCCTCCTCTAGCTGCCGGATTTAATTCTGAATGCCTGAAGAGATTGAGTCAGGCAGGATGGTTACAGGTCACAGCAGGCCAGAGAACCTGGCATTTGATTTCTTCAGTGGCTTTTCTTGGAGACATCTGGGTGTCTCTCTGTCTTTGAAGAAGTCCCACATTTGTTCAACATGAGGATGAAGGGTGTGGGAAAACATTTTCTCTAAGCCAGCTGAGGGCCTTTTCCAGCCTAGGTGAGCTGAGCTTTATGGGGGAGACTTGTACTATATAGGAGCCTTGAGGGAGCCGTGAGGGAGATGAAGAGTGGGGTGTCTCATTAATTGTCCTCCCCAAGCCTAGGGGATAATTACATACAATTGAATGTACTGACTAACTGTAATCGTTACTGATTTGGAGTTAATAATTTCCAAGTAGCACTTTCAGGAGTGGAAACAGAATTGGTTTTTCCATTTGTTTGGCTACTTGAGAAGATGGGGTTCAGTGGCCCTAGAGGCATCTTTTCTTCATATTCTTTTTAGCAGATTTGAAGCAGTGGTCAGGAGAGTCAGAGAATAGAAGGTTGCAGGCCAGGCGTGTTTTCAGAGGAAATTACAACTTACATGGCATCATATTTAAGGTGATTACTGTACGTTGTTGCATTTTTACTGTACTAACAGCCCCGTGAGGAAGATGGGACAGGTGGTGGTGTCTTGGTTTTAAAGTAGACCTTCAGAGAATTCTGTTTTATAAAAATTCTAAAGCATATTCTGTGACTACCTTAGACAGATATATTGTTTGTCTCCCAAGAAAATTTGTAAGGAATTCTAGTCTTTGTCTCCTCCCCGCAGCACCTGGATAGAAAACAGCTAAATGCTTAGTGTCTTGTCTTTCAGGTTGTGGATAGTTGTGTTTGGTAAAGACTATGAACATTTGGCTTTTTCTGATAAAAAGATTTGCCGTAGGCCCAGGATCATATTCTAGGCTCACTTCCAGTTGTGGCTGGGATAGAAAAACTGCCTTGCATTTAGAGTGGTGCATGTGTATGTGTTAGTTCCAAAGCATTTTCATATAAACCCTCATTTTATTTCTTTAATGCCTCTAGGGTGGAGATAAGAGACAGTTATCTTTTTATAGCTGTAGTGATTTTAAAAATCTGCTGAGTAATAGAGTGGTAAGAGGTGTTTGTACTTGAGAACAGAGAGATTCAGGGAATGTAAGTGACCTTTTAGCTTAAAGAAGTTAAGAATCTTCGTTATTTGTGGCTTTAACTGAGTCCACACTTGAGGGGAATATAATTCAGACCATACATATACATATGTCTTCAACATCTATTCTACTCTCAGCCACTTTTCTTCCCCTTTTGGCTTTTCCTGCCTTTTAGAACATCTTTGGGGTGGTATTTGGCCTCAGCACTGTGGGGGGTGAAGGACTTAGCCAAGTCAGGGACTGGACATTATCTGTCACAATATCATATCTTGAGTTACCTGTGTGTGCAAAAGAAAAGAAGGCTGAAGGAATCAGAGAGAGGGGTATGTGCCTGGATCTAGACCCGAGGTGACCATGCTTTTAACCCTAGCCTCTAGATCACTGTCAAGAAAGGAATTTGAGGGTGGTAGTAACTACATGTAGTGGGGGAGGCCTTGCATGTGAAGTAGGGTTTTTTTCCCCTCTCTTTTTCCTGAAGGACGAGAATGAGGCACAGTGTAAACAGGAAGACACTATTAAGGATTACATTTCTTAGGTATTTGGCAGGCAATCTGAGCAGATGAGGAGGAGGAAGATGGAGCAGGGCTGACAGGAGAGGGGAAATAGCAGTGACTAGGCTTTAGTGGGACCTCTGCCCCAAGGCTCGGCCTCTCTGGGATCCACTTATATAGTCGACACCGGGGAGGGCATCTTTTCCACAGTGTTCTGATTCTTCAGAGGCTGTGGCTTCCAGAAACTGCACACTTTATCACAGAGAATTTGTGAATGAATAGGTGTTGAAATTTTCTATCCCTGTAATTTTTCAACTTTCCACTCCGTAGTCCCACTCTCTTCCCCTTCCTTCCATTTCTAAAATTAAAAAATGTGCTCATAAAAAAGCAAATTAGGTCAGGTGCAGTGGCTCAACGCCTGTAATCCTAGCACTCTGTGAGGCCAAGGCGGGAGGTTCACTTGAGCTCAGGAGTTTCAGACCACCCTGAGCAAGAGCAAGATCCTGTCTCTACTAAAAATAGAAAAATTAGCTGGGTGTTGTGGCATGCGCCTGTAGTCCCAGCTACTCGGGAGGCTGAGGCAGGAGGATCGCTTGAGCCCAGGAGTTTGAGGTTGCTGTGAGCTATGATGACGCCATGGCACTTTATCCAGGGCGACAGAACAAGACTCTGTCTCAAAAAAAAGCAAAAAAAAAAAAAAAAAATTAAAAATTTCTGTATCATTTTCAAAGTAAGAAGAGAAAAATCCCTCTCATACCTCCTAAGCAAACACTGTCTTTATCACTCAGCCATTTTGATTAATACAAGAAATAAGGAGTTTGAGTTTTATTCTTGCTTTTAGAAAAAAATTTTGGTGGTCATCAAATCCTCGGCAACAAACATGCCACTGCCTCCTGTGAGAGGTACATTCCAGCCCCAGAAAGCTTTAGACTCAGTATCTTAATAGGGCCATCTCTCCTGCTCACTGGACATTTCAAATGAGTTTCTATTTTTTGGTTGCTTATGAGAGCCACAACTGATCTTGTTTTTCTCTACTCCTTAGCTTTCTTTACATTTGAATATTAGGACTACATGTTAGGATTTCTGCAAGTGGCCTTGCCTTGCCTTGCTTTCTTGTTTCTTGCTCTCTCACAATGCCTTACAAGTGGCATATCAAAGTCCAAACTGGCTGAGATCGACTGTGATGATGAATATCATTGCTAAGAGTAATAATACACATATCACATTTGTACAGCACTTTAAGCATGCACAGCATTCACAGTCCTTTCTTTGTCTGACAGGCAGGAAAGGCAGCTAGTTTACAGGTGAGGATACTTAGGGGTTGTGACATCCTTTAGGTCAGAGCTGATGTGGCTGATGGCAAAGCACCCTGGTTTTGACTCAGAATTGCTGCTACTTGAGAAGTCTTTGAAGGCATAAAAATAATATCTTAAAGCTGCTAGAGCATTTTGAACATCAGCCTCAGCCCAAATAACTGCATCTACTCTTTCTTTTCTTCTTGTCTGGGTGCTACCCTGACCTTCCTTAATAAGAATGGCTAACATTATTGTTCACTTACTATGTGCCAGGCACTATGCTAGGTTTATTACTTGTTCCTCTCCTTTCCTTTAGTCTTCACAACTCTGTGGGATAAATGCTATTATTATCTGCACTTCCCAGGTGAGAAAATTGAAGCTTAGGGGAATTAAATGACTGGCCCAATGTGGTAGAGTTTACTGGGTGAGCTGGGTTGTCACCTAGACACTCTAGCGCCAGAGCCTGTGCTCCTAAGCACCAAGCCATGCTGCTGCATTCAATATGTAACAATTGAAAGCCATTGGATTGAGAATTACAAGAAATGAGTTCTAATCTTGCCCCTACCATTAAACTCTCGGTGACTCTGACAAGTCACTTCCCTTCCCTGGGCCTCAGCTTCCTCAAGTGTATGTTGAAGTAGGATGACATAGTTGATCATAAGGTTCCTTGGTGCTGGCAGTCTGTGGTTCCCTCATATGGACACAGATGAGAGGTTGGTTATTGAAGTAAATGATTTACAAGCTCGTTTTCCTAGTGGTACCTTCTGTCCCCTTTCTCAGGTCTATTCCGTTAACTTTATTTGACATCAGCTGCACCTGAACATGCCTCCATGACCTGAGTTTCTATAGCCTCCAGCCTTGCAGAGAAGCTGGATGCTTTGTTCTCACTGCAGGCAGGTTGGGCAACAGAGGCTACTGCAGAACACGTATCTGTCCTCAGCCAAAGGCCGGGACTGCCTGGATAATGAAATTGGGTCAGGTGCTATTG